TAATAGTTTCAGTTAAAAATACAAACACTGCTTCCCTGAAGCTCACATGACACCAAACATGATGCTTTTGGTGTCACTGATGCCATCAGATTACATTTACATTCATGCATTATGCAGATGCTTTTATCAAAATCTTATATTGCATTAAGATACAGCTGTATAAGCTCCTGCATTCTCTGGGAATTGAACCCATGACCTTTGTGATATTTTGTGCTCTACTGTTTGAGCTACAGGAATGCTGAAGTATTGGTAAAGGTGAAGAAAGACTGTTCCTCAAAGCAAGCTTTCGCATTACTTTAGTAAACTTGGTATATAGTGTATGTCTTTAGTGTTTATTTTTGTCCTTTTTGGAGATGTTTGGTGGATTACTTCTTTAAGATTTAAGATATGAACAAGTATCTACAATAAGGAAAACTGGTAGTATTTACCAACCTTCTGCCCAATCTTTGAGTTTGACCTCACAGCAGATTAGAGGAGCTCCAACTCGTCCTGTGCTATAGTCAGCAACTGCACAACATAAGATGATATGATCATTACGGCACATGAGATAAAGCTCTGACGATTGTTCAAAATAAGACTGTACAAGTAATATTAAAATAAACAGTGCAAGATAGATTGGAAAAGATGTCCAGATGTAGCAGGACTCCTCACCCTCAGTTATAGTTCCCGCTCCACAGGTCTCAGTAAGACCGTAACCCTGACCAACAGGACAGCAGAAGCAGATGTTCATGAAGCGCTGAGTGGTATCATCACCCCTTTAGGTCTACCGGTGGAGCCGCTGGTGTACATAATAACAGCGAGGTCTGATGGGACGGGCTTCACTATGGGTCTGCTCACTGCAACACAAAGCGCACATTGTTTTCTCCTCTGGTGATAGAGATGAATCTATTACAGTGCAAATCTCTATTCAGATCAATATTGTATGGGTGAATTGTGGGCAAACTACAGGCAATCACTGAAAAGGTTAGTTAGCATATAAATAAAATGTCAACCGTAAAGTTGGTGCCCTTTCTTACGGTTTTCTGGCTTGGCTCCCAGCTCTTGCACAGAGTGCATGCTGTGGATCTGGATGCCCTGTGGATATCCTGCTGTGCTGATGCTCTTCCTGTCCACATAGATCATCTGCCTCAGACTGGGGATTTGTGGAAGAACATTCTGTAGGGGAATAAAAATTGTTATGGAAACAGAATATTTAATGAAAAATATAAATATTTCAAGCGGCAGGGCAAGTAAACCCAGGTGGTACCAGACGTCAAGTTAAACTTTGGTTTGAAAATCTGATTGACATCAAAACCCAACATTGGATGGACGTTTAATTTTGGTTACTTAATACGATGACTTAAAACCAACAAAATATCAACATCTAATGATGTTATATATTTAAGCTGCATGGAAGTTAACATTATGACATTTAGCAGGCATTGGTTTTTGGTTACCATCATGGCTAAATGTCTGTGTTTGGTGTCAATATGTTGTTGGCATGAATTTTGGTTACTTAAAGGTGCCATAGAATGCATTGATACAACATTTTAAATTGTTCTCTGATATCTACATAGAAGGTATGTGGCTTAGGTAAGGGTAAAAAATCTCCAGAAACGGTTTTACATGTCCATTTACAACCCTAGGATTTGTCCCTAGAATGAAATGGACTGTTTTTACCTTATTTGGAAGGGTCATGAATAATAATGTTGAGCTCTGCTCCGAATGGCTGTTTCACAGTGCGGCTCATTTCAGTAGCTCACACAGCAGGAAGGAAACACAGGGAAAATATATATTTCAATACTCTCTCTCGCAGTTATATCCTTGGGTAATTATACTGTATATAAAATGCTGCCATCAGGGAGTCGCTATTAATATATTCGAATGCACGATCGCGTTTTACTTTCACTTTCAAGATTTGCAATCGCACGTGATCTGTGTAAACTACAGCGGCAGTACTTACCACACATTTTACAAGATCAGATGCTTGTCAGTGGTGCTCAGGATCTGTAAATCATTCGCCATCATCCTCAGTCATCTCTCCTTACTTTACTTCCCTTCTTAATTTTGGTTGACTACAAAGCAAAAACAAGCCATTCAATCATCTGAGATGTAACATAATTTCCCTATTTTGTAATAACCTCATAAATCTGTGTAAACATGTGACTATATTTATCTGATCCAGTAATAAATTGAGGTGCAGTACCTGATCAGACAGTGTTTGTGGGGAGGAATAGCCGATCCTGCAGCCGTACGTCACACACGAGATCTCAGCCGTCATTTCCAGCACATGAGCAAGAGGAAGATAGGCAATATACGTATCCTTTGGTCTGTGGAGGCATACAGGCATATTAAAGCCAAACTAATATGCATTTCAGTCAGGCACTGTGGCATTAATGGAAAGCAACAACCAGGTTCCAAAAGCAAAAATTCCATTAATATTTTCCACTGGTGAATTGATTTTTAGAAGTAACTTTTTTAAACCATTAAAGACAGACCTACTGTGAGCTACAAGGTTGGTATATGCTTTTGTTGAAGACATCAGCCCATAATATTTCAACTTAATTTTTAATAATCATAATTTCCTGGTGGAAAAACTACATGATTTTGCAGAGAATCTACACACACACCCATATATATAAAATTAACATCTTTAAATATATTATATATTTCTCCATTGTTTTTAATTTGATTATATAATTAGCAATGCTTTATGGCATTGTAGTTCTTTCTCATTAAAGTTGTAAATACAGTCTTGTCTCTTTGTCTGTTTTTGAAATTCAGTTTTGCTTCAAATTATAGTATAAAAAGTGTATAATATTGTGTTTCACCTCAAAGCTAGTTGGTTTGGTTTTGGCTTATAACACGAAGATATTTTAAAAATCTGTATGGTTAAAGAAAATAAATGGGAAATCTAAAATAAAATACTTTTGGAACCAAGTCTGCTGAAAAAGTGGGTGGCCACTGTGGCACCCTATTGATATTTATACACACCCCAATCCAGGTATCCTCTCGCACTGGCCTGCCATGCCCCCGATCAGGTTACTGTGAATGATCATCACCCCTTTAGGTCTACCGGTGGAGCCGCTGGTGTACATAATAACAGCGAGGTCTGATGGGACGGGCTTCACTATGGGTCTGCTCACTGCAACACAAAGCGCACATGAAAATACATATTTCAATACTCTCTCTCGCAGTTATATCGTTGGGTAATTATACTGTATATAAAATGCTGCCATCAGGGAGTCGCTATTAATATATTCGAATGCACGATCGCGTTTTACTTTCACTTTCAAGATTTGCAATCGCACGTGATCTGTGTAAACTACAGCGGCAGTACTTACCACACATTTTACAAGATCAGATGCTTGTCAGTGGTGCTCAGGATCTGTAAATCATTCGCCATCATCCTCAGTCATCTCTCCTTACTGTGTTTATGTGGTAAGTGAAATCTTATGTACTGTAATGTAACAGGCTACTGCTAGCAAGCAGCTAACCATGTCCCTTTAGTGGCTCGCGTTATTTTATTAGAACGCGCGTTATCTGTTTTCTGTGCCTTTCTGAATAGACACCAACCCATCCCTGCACATCACATCCCCTGCACAGCCTGGAACATAACATTTATTTCCATGATCTGCCATTTTCGCTATTATCCTCGCTTGTTTCTTCACAATACCTGCAGAACTTCTGATGATTCGGCTGTGCAGGTTCGGCTGGCGGCTGGCATAGAACATGGGCGGGTATATGCAAATGTTGGGGCCGTAACTATTAGTGATCCCGACTGTAACGTCACAGTCGGTGTTATGTTCTGATTTGCCTGTTTTTCAGTGGTCTTTTGCATGCAGGAGATTTACATAAGAAGGAGGAAACAATGGTGTTTGAGGCTCACGGTATGTCATTTCCATGTACAGAACTGTTATTATTCAACCATGCCAAGGTAAATACAGTTTTCCATTCTATGGCACCTTTAATACCACGCCTTAAAACCAACAAAATATCAACATCAGCTTTCGTCACTATTCTGGTCAAGTTGACATTGGCATTAGAACAGGTCATGACATTGAATTTTGGTCACCTGACACAAGGGCATGTATTTAACCAAATATCAATGTCTTATGATATTGGTGGCCCACTGGAAAAATTTGAACTACAGTACAGGGCCTGACTTGCTGTTACTGTTAAACCCTTTTCTTATAGAAGTTATTCACTGAGACAAACATGACTGAATATAAAGACATGCGATTCAGTGAGTCAGATGTTAATTTGGTAACTGTTCTAACTGATTCAGTGAGTTCATTCAGTGATTCAAACTAATAACCCATGAGTTCATGAGTCATGTTTAAAAGCACTTGGAATTTGTTTGTTTGTTATATGGACTACACTGGTTTTATGAGTTCAGTTACCAAAGAGAAAGGAACTGAAATACGTGCCAAGTTGGCACTGATTCATGGTACCCTGTTATTCATTTTGATGGCGGATTGTAATCCAGAAAGGATTATATGAAACACATGTGAATGAAATTAAATTATATTTTTAATATGTAAAAAGTTTTAAATGTGCTTCTGATTACAGATAGCCTTGTGGGATTACACAAGATTTGTATTTTAAAGAAAACCAGTTCGAAGAACCAGTTGCTTTTTGGAGAGCAGCAAATCAGCATATTAGAATGATTTCTGAAGGATCATGTGACACTGAAGACTGGAGTAATGATGCTAAAAAAATTCAGCTTTGAATCACAGGAATAAAATGTATTTTAAAATATATAAAATAGAAAACAGTTTTCACTATTTTACTGTATTTTTTATTAAAGAAATGCTGCTTTGGTGAGCATAAGAGACTTATTTTAAGAAACAAAAAAATCTTACAACCCCAAACCAGTAGTGTACATGTTTAAATAAAATTAGTTTAAGATGCTATTATTATCATAATTTATGCACACAGGCCAGTTCAGGAGAGTCGCTTGTTTAGACCAGCATCTGATATGAGCTAAATTAAAAAGGTCATGTGAACAACCTCACTAAATAAATTGGATTAGAGCAGAAAATTACAATTAGGCACTTTGGCTTGCATTGTGAGCATAGCCGTACAGAATATGTCAGAGGAGGATGTACCTTTTTGAAGACCTTCCCACTCGGCTGAGTCTCATTTTCTTTGCTCAGAACTTCTCTGGTTCCCAGGCAGTCCGCTTTACCGAAACGCTCCACCGCATAGTCAAACAGCTTATCAAGCGTGTCTTTTCCAGCGTAGTCCTCCGTGACCAGGGAGTCGAAGCGATCCACGGAACGATATGGCCCTTCAGCCTGACCGGTGGTTGACCTGGATTTGACTCTCTTTGCCAGGGCTTTCTTTTTCTGAACTCCAGTCATGAAGTACCATGGTAGAAAGCTCAAGAGGGAGTAGAGCCATACTACTGCATGTACTGGGAACAAGAGAATGGTACTCAGGTCCATGTTCAGACGCACATCTGCTGAGAAGCTGAAGGGGACTGAAAGATGAAGGGATCAGGCCAAGCCTGAGATATAGAGCGAGTTTGTTGCCCTGTGTCCAACTAAGGATCCCAGATCAAAGTTCAGAAAGATTAGGGAAGTGTCCGATGTGTAGCTCCAAGATGTGCAATCTGATGAGAATGACAGTAAGAAATAAAGGAAATGTATGTTATTCAAGTGTACTCGACTGAAACACAGCCCTACGAGACATTTCTATGAGAAAATAGTTTGAGGCTTCAAGCGGAACAGTTTGTATTCATTCAGCTGCTTTAATGAGACAAGCGAGGCTTATTAGAGGATGCGGTCACATTCACCACACAAAAGACACATTCCTGGCCAGTGAATAGTGTCTCTCTGTTTCTCATTTAATGACTAATATGAAGTCACAAAAATCCTGCAGAAGCTGCCCTAGCCTAAAGACAGGGTGGACTGACGAATGCCATGACATTAAAGCACAAGGTTACCAGACATCTATTAATGTTTGTACAGATGAAACCTGATACACTTGTTTTATCTAGTGTTCCAGTTGCTGGTACAGTGTGGCAGAAATGCCAGGGCCATGGGTTAGATTTCAAGGACAAACCCAAAATAATTAAAACAAATCGGTTTCATTGAGTTGAGCAGAAACACTTTATCTCCATCATTAGCCACGTAAGTGAACTCTGGCTTAAGATAACTTCATCTCAGAAGTCAGGAAGATAAGGCCATCACTTGATCACATGACCGGTGTCAGATTAAGGAAGTAGAAATGAGTTGCTCATATATGGAACAGAAACAACATCAACACTACTGTTACTTACAACCTGTACACAAAGACCTAGAAAATTTACATAGCTTTACATCGTCCTGTTACAGTGCTGCCAAGCTGGGAATTGTCTATGAAATTAGATCCCTCAAAGCACAAGTCCTTACTGACTGTGAAGACAAGTGTGACTAGCTGCAGGGGCCTGTTGCATAAGTATGAGCTAATGGCAAAAGGTTAATGTGAGGCATACTCCACTGACTCAGCAAGACATTCAATAACAGCAGATAACCAAAGCTCTCTTACTAGGGCAGTTAGTAAGCGCTTTCTTGTTTGTTTAGACTGACAACATTTTGGTTCAGAGATCAAGTTGTGATCAGTCCTGGTGAAATGGCCTGGCCAGTGAATAGTGTCTCTCTGTTTCTCATTTAATGACTAATATGAAGTCACAAAAATCCTGCAGAAGCTGCCCTAGCCTAAAGACAGGGTGGACTGACGAATGCCATGACATTAAAGCACAAGGTTACCAGACATCTATTAATGTTTGTACAGATGAAACCTGATACACTTGTTTTATCTAGTGTTCCAGTTGCTGGTACAGTGTGGCAGAAATGCCAGGGCCATGGGTTAGATTTCAAGGACAAACCCAAAATAATTAAAACAAATCGGTTTCATTGAGTTGAGCAGAAACACTTTATCTCCATCATTAGCCACGTAAGTGAACTCTGGCTTAAGATAACTTCATCTCAGAAGTCAGGAAGATAAGGCCATCACTTGATCACATGACCGGTGTCAGATTAAGGAAGTAGAAATGAGTTGCTCATATATGGAACAGAAACAACATCAACACTACTGTTACTTACAACCTGTACACAAAGACCTAGAAAATTTACATAGCTTTGCATCGTCCTGTTACAGTGCTGCCAAGCTGGGAATTGTCTATGAAATTAGATCCCTCAAAGCACAAGTCCTTACTGACTGTGAAGACAAGTGTGACTAGCTGCAGGGGCCTGTTGCATAAGTATCAGCTAATGGCAAAAGGTTAATGTGAGGCATACTCCACTGACTCAGCAAGACATCCAATAACAGCAGATAACCAAAGCTCTCTTACTAGGGCAGTTAGTAAGCGCTTTCTTGTTTGTTTAGACTGACAACATTTTGGTTCAGAGATCAAGTTGTGATCAGTCCTGGTGAAATGGCGTATGATGTTGACACAATCCACAGCCTGATATACCGTTCACTGCTTGGGCAAAACAATTGTCTGCTATTCTAATATAATGAAGACCACCTACTGGTCAACCAGTATGCATGTATGTATGTATGCATTTTTTATTTTATTTTTTTGTGGCCAGTCCTGATAAATGATAAATGGTAAATATTTCAATTCTGAACTTTTTGTCTAAATAAAAATACTAAAAACAACCATTTTTAAATGTTAGAAGTGAATGTAAACATCACAGTTATACTGTTTCAAGGAGAAGCATATGGTCTATTAATTTTGCAATTTGCTAAATGTTACATTTAAAAATGTTATTAAATTATAAGTGCAAGAAAGACCAACAACTTTACTGGGCAATGCTGATAACAATATAATGTATATTAGGGATGCACCAATATTAACAATCTGGCAGATAACGATAAGCCATATTTATTTTTATGTTATGGCAAATAACCAATAAGCTATTGATATTCAAACTCAGAACTTTTTTTTGTCTTAAAACTAAATCAACTAAAGTTTAAATACTATAAATGAATTTAGACATCATTCACTATTATAAAATACATATATATATATATATATATGGATATTCATTGGCTAAAGATTTACATTTAACGGTGTTATTAAAATAAATACCATTGCTATCATCTAACGTTCACATAACAGTTCATCAAAATGTAAAACCAGGGGAAAAAATATCCAATACTTAAACATTCACTTACCTTCACACTGGGAATATTGCATTAATTAAAGCTCCACCCTTGCTCATCCAAAGTTAATGACATTACCTAATAACAAACTAACTTACGAAGAAACAAATGTTGATGCTGACTGGTGCAATTTTTTAATCTGCCCTGATGAGCTGAAACCTGGACAAAGGTTATACTCAATGTGAACCCTAAAGCCTTGTGAGAGTGGTCAGTGAGCAGAGACAGCCAATGATATCAATCCCTCCAGCTCACCCCACTCACGGAGCAGATCTTCAGCAGGTGCACACACAGCGGACTGGAACAGAATGATTGGATCCTGGATCTGATCCCATTATCTTTGTTATCATATTTTACAAACCGACCTCTGTTTAATAGAAGGACACCTTATGACAAGTTGACCTGAATGTACACTTTCAAAGTACACATCAATACTGCTGTTGAGTGGCTGTGATTACAACTCCTATACAAATATTAGCATAATTCATTGATGATGTCTTGTCAACTTCTGTAAACATTTAGTTTGAAACGATTTAAAGCAAAGATAAAGTAAGAAATAGCATAAAACATAAATAAAAGGTACTTTATCTACTAGTTTTCGATAATAAGGTTTTCCGACCTCTAAGATATATAAAATATATTAGCATCAATTTTGGGCGCGATCTCATTATGTTCAAAACGTCTCGGCTCCAGACTCTCAGAGACGCAGCTACACGTGTTCCGTTCATCACCGTGGAAACGGCTCGTTTTAATAAATGGAACACGATTGTTTTTGATTAATGGAATCCGCTAAAGCTCTTTATTCCGCCTAGTCTGACCTTTTGAATGTGATGAAGATGATGATGGCGCTCTTTTTTTGTCTGATGCGAAACGTCAAACGCAGCAGCATCATCATCATCATGAGGGATGCCAAGACATGCTTTTCCATCACCTAGCCTCATATTGAATCATCATGTATTAAAACTCCATGTACACACTTTAATCTTCATTCAGACCCAGTAATGACGTGTAATATTCAGATTTGATGAAACTGCCCGTCGTTAGCAAGCGTTCCCTTTATCTCAGCCATCTGTAAAGTTGTCGCAGTAAACAAGAAAACAATGAAGAAAAAAAAAACAATCCCCTCGTTAAGTATTACTGAGGTGTTAAGATTATAGGAGTAGCTGGCTAGAAAATGATCTTACCGGCTTTTAGTCACTTACCTCCAGAGCCGGTTTGTGTGTTTCAGTCTCTCTGCCAAGCGCAATGACCGACAGTTACCTCCGGGCCGGCGCGTGCTGTTACACCCGGAAATATTGCGTCATCTGACTCCATATTTTTCAGCCAATAAGGTCTAGACAATGAAGCGAAAGCGCATCATTGACTTCCTGTTACTGCTGGTGCACTTCAGGACACGGCTATAATTGTTCTAATGTTAATATTATTAATAATACAGTTTAAAAGAGACATTTCTTGTTCTGTAGTTTCACAAACCAATAAGCAAATAATCGTAAAATTGTAAAATCCAAATCACATACTGGTAAAAAATGTATAGCCTGAATGCACTGTAAGTCGCTTTGGATAAAAGCGTCTGCTAAATGCATACATTATTATTATTATTATATTCTAGACTTTAGGCAGTGAAGTAAGAGAAAGTATTGTTAGTGTTTCAGGATAATATAATTCAGGATGTAATATTAACAATATTCTTGTTCTGTAGTTTAAAAAATATATACTTATGTTGCATATGGAAAGCATCAGTAGTGTAAGTGACGGAAGGCTTACTGGAAATATGATGTTACAACAAAATTTGTGAAAATAAACACCCAACACTGAGACAAATTCATCAAAACTGTTTGCTCCTTAAGATCAGTTTTTATTGGCTGCTATTTACATGGTGATATATATATATATAAAAAAAAAAATCTTTCATGACTGCAAAATGTTGCTATGTTGTAAATGCTGTGTTGTAGACTAACCAATTGGAATTTTACCACAACATAAAGCTGTTCAGTCCATTTATTTTTTGCCTTCAACCATGATGATGTGATAACCAAACTTTGTTTTCACGGGAGGATCAGTGTATACAGGTTTGTCCATAGTGCTGATGGGTAGTGCAAACGCTGCATCCTGAAATGGTCCCACCATTGATCCTCTTGTCATCCAGCCAAGGTCACCCTGTATGCAAATCACAACTTTAAAACTATACAAGCTGTTGTTAAGGTTGTCTTGATACTTAAAAAAAGCATATTTTGAATAAATTACTGAATGAATAGTACTGAAACATACTTAAATCAAAACTGTAAAGTTAAAGGTATATACATCTCTAAAAAAAATGATAATACAGTACTGATAAACACTTCTTATAAACATATATTCTTTTATATAACTTATTTTAAACCAAAATGATACAGAAAGGCTGTACGTTAGTGTTATTGAAATTCCATAGAATAATATGGGTTCAGTATTCTATGCAAATTAGATTCTGAGGGATTTTCCAGCATGGAAAACGCATTGAATGCCATCTGCTGGTAAAAAACAAATAGTACTCATAGGAACTATAGGATTTTTTAAACTCCACATCATGCAAGTCACATTACTGCTACTAATCCACTGTTTTTATACATGAAAAATGTCTTACTCCTTGCCTGGCTTTGTCCTCACTGTATTGTGCTGCCACCTCACTGAAGCGCATGCCAGACTTGAGCTTCTCCATTGCTTCCATACACTTGCCATGCTTTTCACACAGAATATGCCGAACCTATCAGAAAATAGGCCAAAAAAGGGAGTGATACATAATCAACAAAAATATTATTCATTTAAATGGTGGTTTGAAAGTGACAATGTGACTTCATATCATTAATTTAAAGGGGTCATATGATGCGATTTAAATTTTTCCTTTCTCTTTGGAGTGTTACAAGCTCTTGGTGTATAAAGAAGATTTGTAAAGTTGCAAAGACTAAAGTCTCAAATCCAAGTCCAGCCCGGGGTCGACACATGTGGTTGCTGCAAGCCCGCCGGACGCTCCTTCGTCCAATCCGTGCCGTTCTCAAGCCCGCCGGCCACCGCTCACTCTAGCCCACAGTGTGTGATGCTGTGTGACACATTTTATGGAGTGAAAACACCGCGAGCGTCATCCGCGCTTTAGTATGTGTGTAGTAAACAAAAAAGTGCGCCGCGCCATCCATTCATTGCGGAAATCATGGCGCCTTATGCGTGATATCAAATGCTTCCGCAGATTTATAGTATTACTATAGCATTGCGAATTGCGCGTATGGCCATGATAAGTGCGGAATGAATGACAGGATTTCTGTTGTAACATCGCGCAAGGTAAATAAAGGTGACATCTAGTGGAGAAGACTAATGATAAGATTCACGTTAATCAGATCTTGTTTTAAATGTGTGCTGAAATAAATACCGTAAAAGATAGATTCGCGGCTTTTGAGAATCGATATCGAATCGACGTCATTTAAAAAAACGATTAATCGAAAAATCGATTTGTTTGCCCAGCCCTAGTTCCCACGCTACTTGAAAGTACTTGAATTTCAGACATATGGATTCAAGGCCTGAAAAGTACGTGATATGACGGTAGATTTCTCAAATGAAACGGTAAATGCTAATGAAGTGACTCTTAGAGCAGCTGGAGATGACATTCGTGTTCATATCATCACATAGTGAGACGGCAGAAGCTGAAAACACCGCGAGCGTCATCCGCGCTTTAGTATGTGTGTAGTA